TACACAAACTCAGTACGCTCTCTCCAGTAAAATACAAAAATTCAAATTTTCCGTGAATAGAAAAAAATTTAATAAAACCTAGACACCCCAAAGATAAAAGAAAATGGCTCTGAATATAGTCTGTAAGAAAAAAAAATACATCGCTTTATTCTACTCTTTTTTGAAGTACATACACCAACTCAGTCTGCTCTCTCAGGTAAAATACCAATATTCTAATTTTACGTAAATCAAAAATAATCTAAATATTATTTAGGCACCCCAATGTTAAAAACAAATTGCTCTGAATATAATCTGTCAGAAAAAATATACAGTGTTCTATTCTACTGTTTTCGAGTATATACAACAAACAACTCCATATACTCTCTCATGTAAAATACAGGAATTCTTTATTTAAGCGTATCGAAAAAAATCTAAATATTATCTAGGCACTCCAATGTTAAAAACAAAATTGCTCTGAATGAAATCTGTCGGAAAAAATATACAATGCCCTTTTTTACTCTGTTTTGTAGTATATACACCAACTCAATATGCTCTCTCTTATGAAATACCGAAATTATAATATTACGTGAAACGAAAAAAAACCTAAATAATATCTTGGCGCCCCAAAGTTAAAAGAAAATGGTTCTAAATATAGTCTGTAAGAAAAATATACAATGCCTTATTCTTCTCTGTGTTGGAGTATATACACGAACGCCATATGCTCTCTCAAGTAAAATACAGAAATTCAATATTTAAGCGAATCAAAAAAAATCTAAATATTATCTAGGAACCCCAATGTTAAAAGCAAAATTGCTCTGAATGGAATCTGTCAGAAAAAATATACAATGCTTTTTTCTACTCTGTTTTGGACACCAACTCAATATGCTCTCTCATATAAAATACTGAAATTCTAATTTTACACGAAACGAAAAAAATCTAAATAATATCTTGGTGCCCCAAAGTTAAAAGAAAATGATTCTAAATATAGTCTGTAAGAAAAATATACAATGCCTTATTCTTCTCTGTTTTGGAGTATATACACGAACTCCATATGCTCTCTCAAGTAAAATACAGAAATTCTAAATTTAAGCAAATCGAAAAAATCTAAATATTATCCTGGCACCCCAATGTTAAAAGCAAAATTGCTCTGGATATAATCTGTTTAAAAAATATACAATGCCCTTTTGTACTCTGTTTTGTTGTATATACTCCAACTCAGTACGCTCTGTCATGTAAAATACAAAAATTCTAATTTTACCCAAATCGAAACAATCTAAATATTATTTAGGCAACTCAATGTTAAAACAAATTGCTCTGAATATAATCTGTCAGAAAAAAATATACAATGCACTATTCTACTGTTTTGGAGTATATACACCAACTCCATATGCTCTATCATGTAAAATACTGAAATTCTATATTTAAGCGAATCGAAAACAATTTAAATATTATCTAAGCACTCCAATGTTAAAAACAAATTGCTCTGAATATAGTCTGTGAGAAAAAATATACAATGGCCTATTCTACTCTGTTTTGGAGTATATACACCAACTCCATATGCTTTCTCATGTAAAATACAGAAATTCAAATTCTACCCGAATCGAAAAAAAAACTAAATATTATCTAGGCACCCCAAGGATAAAACAAAATTGCTATGAATATAATCTGTCAGAAAATATATACAATGCCCTATTCTACTCTGTTTTGATGTATATACACCAACTCCATATGCTCTCTCATGTAAAATACCGAAAGTCTAATTTTAGGCGAATCAAAAGATCTATATAATATCTAGGTGCCCCAAAGTTAAAAAAAAATGGCTCTGAATATAGTCTGTTAGAAAGAATATACAATGCCTTTCTCCTCTGTTTTGGAGTATATACAGCAACTCAGGATGCTCTCTCATGTAAAATATAGAAATTCTAATTTTACCCGAATCAAAAAATCTAAATATTATCTAGGCACCCCAAGGTTAAAAACAAAATTGCTCTGAATATAATCTGTCAGAAAAAATATACAATGCTATATTGTAATCTGTTTTAAAACTTATACACCAACTCCATATGCTCTCTCATGTAAGATACAGAAATTTTAATTTTACTGTAATTGAGAATATCTAAATATTATCTAGGCACCTCAGTGTTAAGAAAAAAATTCCTCTGAATATAATCTCTCAGAAAAAATATACAATGCCCTATTCTACTCTATTTTGGAGTATATACACCAACTCCACATTCTCTCTCATGTAAAATACAGAAATTCTATATTTAAGCAAATGGAAAAAAATCTAAATACTATCTAGTCACCCCAAAGTTAAAAACAAAATCGCTCTGAATATAATCTGTCAGAACAAATACTTCTATTCTGTTTTGTAGTATAAAAACCAATTCAATATGCTCTGTCATGTGTAATACAGAAATTCTCATTCTACCCGAATCGAAAAAAATCTAAATATTATCTAGGCACCCCAATGTTAAAAGCGAAATTGCTCTGAATATAATCTGTCAGAAAAAATATACAGTGTCCTTTTCTACTCTATTTTGCAGTATATACACCAACTCCATAAGCTCTCTGATGTAAAATACCGAAATTCTAATTTTACAAGAATCAAAAAGAATCTAAATAATATCTAGGCGCCTCGAAGTTAAAAGAAAATGGCTCTTAATATAGTCTGTTAGAAAAAATATACAATGCCTTATTCTACTCTGTTTTGGAGTATATACACCAACTCAGTATGCTCTCTCATGTAAAATACACAAATTCTAATTTTACCTGAATCGAAAAAATCTAAATATTATTTAGGAAACCCAATGTTAAAAAAAATTGCTCTGAATACAATCAGTCAGAACAAATATACAATGCACTATTCTACTTTGTTTTAAAGTATATACACCAACTGCATATGCTCTATCATGTAAAATACAGAAATTCTATATTTAAGCGAATTGAAAATAATTTAAATATTATCTCAGCACGCCAATGTTAAAAACAAAATTGCTCTGAATATAATCTCTCAGAAAAAATATACAATGCCCTATTCTACTCTGTTTTGGAGTATATACACCAACTACATATGCTCTATCATGTAAAATACAGAAATTCCTTATTTAAGCAAATCGCAAAAAATCTATATATCATGTAGGCATCTGAATGTTAAAATCAAAATTCCTCTGAATATAATGTGTCAGAAAAAATAAACAATGCCCTATTCTACTCTGTTTTGGAGTATATACACCAACTCAGTATGCTCTCTCATGTAAAATACCGAAATTCTAATTTTACCTGATTCGAAAAAAATCTAAATATTATCTAGGCACTGCAATGTTTAAAGCAAAATTACTCTGAAATCTGTCTGACAAAGTATACAATGTCCTTGTCTACTCTGTTTTGGAGTGTATACACCAACTCTATATGCTCTCTCATGTAAAATACCGAAATTCATATTTTATGCGAATTGAAAGAAATCTAAATAATATCCAGGCATAAAAACAAAATTACTCTGAATATTATCTGTTAGAAAAAATATACAATGCCCTATTTTACTCTGTTTTGGGGTATATAAAACAACTCCATATGCTCTCTCATGTAAAATAGCGAAATTCTAATTTTACGTGAATCGAAAAAAATATAAATATTATCTAGGCGCCCCACAGTTAAAAGAAAATGGCTCTGAATATAGTCTGTTAGAGAAAATATAAAATGCCCTATTCTACTTTGTTTTGGAGAATATACACCAACTCAGTGTGCTCGCTCATGTAAAATACTGAAATTCAAATTTTTCCCGAAACGAAAAAAATCTAAATATTATCTAGGCAACCCAATGTTAAAACAAAAATGCTAATCAGTCAGAAAAAATATACAATGCCCTATTCTACTCTTTTTTGGAGTATCTACACCAACTCAATATGCTCTCTCATGTAAAATACAGAAATTCTCTATTTAAGCGAATCGAAAAAAATCTAAATAATATCTAGGCACCCCAATGTTAAAAGCAAAATTGTGCTGAATATATTCTGTCAGAAAAAATATACAATGCTCTTTTCTACACTGTTTTGGAGTGTATACACCAAATCAATATGCTCTCTCATGTAAAATACAGAAATTCTATATTTAAGCGAATCGAAAAAAATCTAAATATTATCTAGGCACCCCAATGTTAAAAGCAAAATTGCTCTGAATAAAATCTGTCAGAAAAAATATACAATGCCATTTTCTACTCTGTTTTGTAGTATATTCATCAACTCAATATGCTCTCTCATGTAAAATACAGAAATTCTAATTTTACCCAAATCGAAAAAATCTAAATATAATCTAGGCAACCCTATGTGAAAAACACGTTGAATATAATCTGTCGGAAAAAATATAGAATGCCCTATTCTACTCTGTTTTGAAGTATATACACCAACTCCATACGCTCTCTCATGTGAAATACAGAAATTCTATATTTAAGCGAATCGAAAGAAATCTAAATATTATCTAGGCACTCCAACGTTAAATAAAATATTGCTCTGAATATAAAGTGTCAGAGAAAATATACAATGCCCTATTCTACTTTGTTTTGGGGTATATACACCAACTCCATATGCTCTCTCATGTAAAATAAAAAAATTCTGTATTTAAGCAAATGGAAATAAATCTAAAATTATCTAGGCACCCCAATGTTAAAAGCAAAATTGCTCTGAATGTAATCTGTTAGAAAAAATATACATGCCTTTTTCAACTCTGTTTTATAGTATATAAAACAAGTTAATATGCTCTCTCATGTAAAATACCGAAATTCTGATTTTATGTGAATCAAAAAAAATCTAAATAATACCAAGGTGCCCCAAAGTTAAAAGAAAATGGCTCTGAATATAGTGTGTTAGAGAAAATATACAATGATTTATTCTACTATATTTTGGAGTATATACACCAACTCAGTATGCTCTATCATGTAAAATACAGAAATTCTAATTTTACCTGAATCTAAGAAACCTAAATATTATCTAGGCACCCCAATGTTAAAAAAAAATTGCTCTGAGTCCGCATCCCGCTCGCTGGGAGAGAGGTACATCTCCTTTTTCCTCTCCCTTTCCCTAAGGAGTGGAGTCAACATATCAATGGAGCAAGTCACAGTCGTCGATGCCAGCTTCTTCTTGAAATCTACCCAGAATGGAATCCTGACAATGATACAGGACATACAATGGGTGATCCATTCATGTTGCAGCAGTCTACAAATCCAGCACCAGGAATTCTGGGACCTCCACCTCCCTCGTTTCATCTTGGGGGACCAGCAGTTGGGCCAAGAGGAAATCTGGGTGCTGGAAATGGAAACCTGCAGGGCACATGCAAAAAGGCAGAGTGGAAACTAGCAGAGTTGTTCACATCATGGATTTTCAACGAGGGAAAAACTTGAGATATCAGCTGTTACAACTGGTGGAACCATTTGGAGTCATTTCAAATCATCTGATTCTAAATAAAATTAATGAGGCATTTATTGAAATGGCAACCACAGAGGATGCTCAGGCCGCGGTGGATTATTATACAACCACACCAGCGTTAGTATTTGGCAAGCCAGTGAGAGTTCATTTATCCCAGAAGTATAAAAGAATAAAGAAACCTGAAGGAAAGCCAGATCAGAAGTTTGATCAAAAGCAAGAGCTTGGACGTGTGATACACTCAGCAATTTGCCTCATTCTGGCTATTCTGACAGTGCTGTCCTCAAGCTTGCTGAGCCCTATGGGAAAATAAAGAATTACATATTGATGAGGATGAAAAGTCAGGCTTTTATTGAGATGGAGACAAGAGAAGATGCAATGGCAATGGTTGACCATTGTTTGAAAAAAGCTCTTTGGTTTCAGGGGAGATGTGTGAAGGTTGACCTGTCTGAGAAATATAAAAAACTGGTACTGAGGATTCCCAACAGAGGCATTGATTTACTGAAAAAAGATAAATCCCGGAAAAGATCTTATTCTCCAGACGGCAAAGAATCTCCAAGTGATAAGAAATCTAAGACTGATGGTTCCCAGAAGACTGAAAGTTCAACCGAAGGTAAAGAACAAGAAGAGAAGTCCGGTGACGATGGTGAGAAAGACACAAAGGATGACCAGACAGAGCAGGAACCTAATATGCTTCTTGAATCTGAAGATGAACTACTTGTCGATGAAGAAGAAGCAGCAGCACTGCTAGAAAGTGGCAGTTCAGTGGGAGACGAGGCCGATCTTGCTAATTTAGGTGATGTGACTTCTGATGGAAAAAAGGAATCTTCAGAAAAAGCTGTGAAAAAAGATGCAAGTGCTTCAGCAGCAGCAAAGAAAAAGCTTAAAAAGGTGGACAAGATCGAGGAACTTGATCAAGAAAATGAAGCAGCGTTGGAAAATGGAATTAAAAATGAGGAAAATACAGAACCAGGTGCTGAATCCGCTGAGAACGCTGAAGATCCCAACAAAGATACAAGTGAAAATGCAGATGGTCAAAGTGATGAGAACAAGGAGGACTATACAATCCCAGATGAGTATAGAATTGGACCGTATCAGCCCAACGTTCCTGTTGGTATAGACTATGTGATACCTAAAACAGGGTTTTACTGTAAGCTGTGTTCACTCTTTTATACAAATGAAGAAGTTGCAAAGAATACTCACTGCAGCAGCCTTCCTCATTATCAGAAATTAAAGAAATTTCTGAATAAATTGGCAGAAGAACGCAGGCAGAAGAAGGAAACTTAAGATGTGCAAGAAGATTAAATGATTTCAAAGAAAATAATGGTTCTTTGTTTTTAATGTTAACCTTTTTTAAATACAATACTGATAGTTAGAAGAAAATTATTGTACTCTTTTGTAGTGGAGAAATAATAGATGTCTGTTCATGTGTTAAGTGTTATAGCAAAAAAAAATGCATACAGTTAAGTTAATGAATAGTTTTTGTTTTATCAGAATGGCAACAGACTGAAGTACTTTGTAGAGATTGACTTTGTAAGCTAATACTTAAGACAACTTGCACCAGTAAGAAAATGTAGAACCATTTGGAAAAATGAAATTTAGTATTTCCAAGTTTCAAAGAAATGTCAACATTTTGTTCCATTCAATAAAGAACAAAACTAATAGTATTTTTATTACTTTCATCTGAAACATTCCATGTTTTAATCTGAGCCTTGCAGACTTTTCATTTGGAGTTTGAACCTGTTTTGGTGCATTTCATTTTTGGAGAACTTCATCAATGTGAGATTGGCAATTCAGATGCAGGTGCAGTTTTCTGTTGATGTCATGCTGTTGTTTAGGTAATAAGAAATATTAAGTAATTGGCTTTAGATTTTGTAATTTTTTTCCCTGAGTTTGTATTCTAGTAGTCAATGTATTTTCAGTGAAATGTAAAAATATTCCCGTTCTCTTTGACCAGTATTAATTTTTGAGATCTTATTGCTTGTCACTTGAATCCCATAATTGTCATACATCTCTGGTATAAGCAACATTTAATTTTTGAAGTGTGTAGACGATCTCTTCATATTTTCAAGATGTAATTTTACAGTTCTGCATTTTAAAAAGTTTGGCCATAATCCTAGATGCACGCTTCTAATTCATGTACCTGCACATGTGACCTTTGTGAACAGAAATTTGCATGTATAATTTGTGTTTACTTGTAACTTTCTGGTTATATACTGCTTATATCTGTGGATTCAAGTTACTGAAGTGAATACCAATAAAAAAAAACTTAGGCCATGTTCATTGGTTATACATGTTTGGAATGTTAACCAAAAAAAAAAAAATTGCTCTGAATATGATCTGTCAGAATAAATATACAATGCCCTATTCTACTCTGTTTTGGAGTACATACACCCACCAACTCAATATGTTCTCTCATGTAAAATACAGACAATCTATATTTAAGCGAATCGAAAATAATCTACATATTATCTAGGCACCCCAATGTTAAAAGCAAAATTTCTCTGAATGCAATGTGTCAGAAAAAAATATACAATGCCCTTTTCTACTCTGTTTTCGAATATATACATTAACGCAATATTCTCTATCATGTAAAATACCGAAATTCTAATTTTATGCGAATCGAAATAAATCTAAATAATATCTAGGCACCCCAAATTTAAAAGAAAATGGCTCTGAATATAGTCAGTTAGAAAAATTATACAATGCTTTATTCTACTTTATTTTGGAGTATATACACCAACTCACTATGCTCTCTCATGTAAAATACCGAAATTCTAACTTAACCGAATCGAAGAAATCTAAATACTATCTAGGCACCTCAATGTTAAAAACAAAATTGCTCTGAATATAATCTGTCAGAAAAAATATACAATGCCCTATTCTACTCTGTTTTGGAGATATACATCAACTCCATATGCTCTCTCATGTAAAATACAGAAATTCTATCTTTAAGCGAATCGATAAAAATCTAAATATTATCGAGGCACCCCAATGTTGAAAGAAAAATTGCTCTGAATATAAACTGTCAGAAAAAATATACAATGCCATTTTCTACTCTGTTTTTTAGTATATACACCAAATCAATATGCTCTCATATAAAATACCAAAATTCTAATTTTACGGGAATCAAATAAAATCTAAATATTATCTAGAAACCCCTATGTTAAAAGCAAAATTGCTCTGAATATAATCTGTCAGAAAAAATATATAATGCCCTTTTCTACTCTGTGTTGGATTATATACAGCAATTCAATATGCTCTCTCATGTAAAATACAGAAATTCTATATTTAAGCGAATCGAAAAAAATCTAAATAATATCTAGGAGCCTCAAAGTTAAAAGAAAATGGCTCTGAATATAGTATGTTAGAAAAAATATACACTACAATACCTTCTTCTACTCTGTTTTGGAGTATATACACCAACTCAGTATGCTCTCTCGTGTAAAATACAGAAATTCTAATTTTACACGAATCGAAAAAATCTAAATATTATCAAGACACCTTTATGTTAAAAACAAAATTGCTCTGAATATAAACTCTCAGAAAAAATATACAATGCCCTATTCTACTCTTTTTTTGAGTATATACACCAACTCTACCTGCTCTCTCATGTAAAATACAGAAATTCTGTACTTAAGCGAATCAAAAAAAATCTAAATAATATCTAGGTGCCCCAAAGTTAAAAGAATATGGCTCTAAATATAGCCTGTTAGAAAAAATATACAATGCCTTATTCTACTCTGTTTTGGAGTATATACACCAACTCAGTATGCTCTCTCATGTAAAATATCAAAATTCTAATTTTACCCGAATCGAAAAAATCTAAATATTATCTAGGCACCCCAATGTTAAAAACAAAATTGCTCTGAATATAGTCTGTCAGAATACAATGCCCTATTCTACTCTGTTATGGAGTATATACACCAACTTCATATGCTCTCAAATAAAAAATACATAAATTCTATATTTAAGCGAATTGAAAAAAATCTAAATATTATCTAGGCACCCCAATGTAAAAAGCAAAATTGCTCCGAATATAATATGTCAGAAAAAATATACAATGCCCATTTCTAATCTGTTTTTGAGTATATTCACCAACACAATATGCACTCTCATGTAAAAACCGAAATTCTAATTTTACGCGAATCGGAAAAAATCTGAATAATATCACAATGCCCAAAAGTTAAAAGAAAATGGATCTGAATATAGTCTGTTAGAAAAAATATACAATGTCTTATTATACTCTGTTTTGGAGTATATACACCAGTTCAGTATGCTCTCTCATATAAAATACAAAAATTATATATTTAAGAGAATCGAAAATAATCTAAATATTATCTAGGCACCTCAATATTAAAAGTAAAATTGCTCTGAATATAGTCTGTCAGAAAAAATAGAAAAAATATACAATGCCATTTTCTATTCTGTTTTGTAGTATATACATCAACTCAATATGCTCTCTCATGTAAAATACAGAAATTCTAATTTTACCCGAATCGAAAAAATCTAAATATAATCTAGGCACCCCTATGCGAGAAAAAAAATTACGTTGAATATAATCTGTCAGAAAAAATATAGAATGCCCTATTCTACTCTGTTTTGGAGTATATACACCAACTCCATATGCTCTCTCATGTAAAATACAGAAATTCTATATTTAAGCGAATCGAAAGAAATCTAAATATTATCTAGGCACCCCAATGTTAAAAGCAAAATTGCTCTTAATATAATCTGTAAGAATAAATATACATTGCCCTATTCTACTCTGTTTTGGAGTATATACACCAACTCCATATGCTCTCTCATGTACAATACAAAAATTCTGTATTTAAGGGAATGGAAAAAAATCTAAAAATTATCTAGGCACCCCAATGTTAAAAGCAAAATCTGTCAGAAAAAATATACAATGCCTTTTTAGACTCTGTTTTGTAGTATATACACCAATTTAATATGCTCTCTCATGTAAAATACCGAAATTCAGATTTTACACGAATCAAAAAACAATGTAAATAATATCTAGGTGCCCCAAAGTTAAAAGAAAATGGCTCTGAATATAGTGTGTTAGAGAAAATATACAATGCCTTATTCTACTCTGTTTTAGAGTATATAAACCAACTCAGTATGCTCTCTCATGTAAAATACAGAAATTCTAATTTTACCCGAATCTAAAAAATCTAAATATTATCTAGGCACCCCAATGTTAAAAGCAAAATTGCTCTGAGTATGATCTGTCAGAAAAAATATACAATGCTCTTTACTACTCTGTTTTGGAGTACATACACCAACTCACTCTGCTCTTTCATGTAAAATACCGAAATTCTAATTTTACGCGAATCGAAAAAAATCTAAATAATAACCAGGCGACCCAAAGTTAAAAGAAAATGAAAAAAAAAAAAAAGAAAAAAAGAAAATGGCTCTGAATATAGTCTGTTAGAAGAAATATACAATGCCGTATTCTACTATGTTTTGGAGTATATACACCAACTCAGTATGCTGTCTCATGTAAAATACAGAAATTCTAATTTTACCAGAATCGAAAAAATCTAAATATTATCTAGGCACCCCAATGCTAAAAACAAAATTTCTCTGAATATTATCTGTCAGAAAAAATATACAATGCCCGATTCTTCTCTGTTTTGGACTATACACCAACTCCATATGCTCTCTCATGTAAATACAGAAATTCTATATTTAAGAGACTCGAAAAAAATCTAAATATTATCTAGGCACCCCTATGTGAAAAACAAAATTTCTCTGAATATAATCTGTCAGAACAAATATACAATGCCCTTTTCTAGTCTGTTTTGTAGTATATACACCAAGTCAATATACACTCTCATGTATAATAACAAAATTTTAATTTTACGTCTAAATATTATCTAGGCTCCCCAATGTTAAAAGCAAAATTGCTCTGAATAAAATCTGTCAGAAAAAATATACAGTGCCTTTTCTATTCTCTTTTGGAGTATATACACCAACTGAATATGATCTTTCATGTAAAATACGGAAATTCTTATTATTCTTGAATCGAAAAAAATCTAAATAATATCTAGGCACCACAAAGTTAATAGAAAACGGCTGTTAATATAGACTGTTAGAAAAAATATACAATGCCTTATATTACTCTGTTTTGGGGTATATAAACCAACTCAGTATGCTCTCTCATGTAAAATACCAAAATTCTAATTTTATGTGAATCGAAAAAAATCTAAATAATATCTACGTGCCCCAAAGTTAAAAGAAAATGGCTCTGAATATAGTCTGTTAGAGAAAATATACAATGCCGTATTCTACTCTGTTTTACAGTATATACACCAACTCAGTATGCTCCCTGATGTAAAATACAGAAATTCTACTTTTATCTGAATCGAAAAAACATACTTTTATCTGAATCGAAACATAAATATTATCTAGGTACCCCAATGTTAAAAACGAAATTGCTCTGAATATAATATTTCAGAAAAAATATACAATGCCCTTTTCTACTCTTATTTGGAGTATATACACCAATTCCATATGCCCACTCATGTAAAATACAGAAATTCTAATTTTACCGGAATCGAAAAAATCTATATATTCTCTAGGCACCCCAATGTTAAAAACAAAATTTCTCTGAATATAATCTGTCAGAAAAAATATACAATGCCCTATTCTACTTTTTTTGGAGTATATACAACAACTCCATATGCTATCTAATATAAAATACATAAATTCTATATATAAGCGAATCGAAAAAAATCTAAATATTATCTAGGCACCTCAATGTAAAAAGCAAAATTTCTCAGAATATAATCTGTCAGAAAAAATATACAATGCCCTTTTCCACTCTGTTTTAAAGTGTATACAAAAACTCAGTATGCTCTCTCATGTAAAATACCAAAATTCTAATTTTACGAATCGAAAATAATCTAAATATTATCTAGGCACCCCAATGTTAAAAGCAAAATTGCTCTGAATATAATCTGTCTGAAAAAATACACAATGCCCTTTTCTACTCTGTTTTGGAGTATATACACCAACTCAATATGCCCTCTAATGTAAAATACCGAAATTCTAATTTTACCAGAAGAGAAAAAAAATCTAAATATTTTCTAGGCACCCCAATGTTAAAAGCAATATTGCTCTGAATATAATCTGACATAAAAAATATAAAATGGCCTTTTCTACTTTCTTTTATAGTATATATACCACGTCAATATGCTCTCTCACGTAAAATACAGAAATTCGAAATTTATGTGAATCAAAAAAAATCTAAATAATATCTTGGAGCCCTAAAGTTA